TATTCAGAGGTGAGACACCCATGTAAATTGGTCATAGGTTGTTTTTTTTTTTTTTTTTTTTTTTTTTTTACCATTTTCTAATTGGCTTACTTCACTCAACAGAATGTCTTCAGGAGACATCCATGTTGCAGTGTGTGTCAGAAGCTCCTTCCATTTCAAGGATAAGTAATATTCCATGTATGCCTCTATCACATTTGCTGTAGCCATGCACCTGTTGGTAGGTGCCTGGAATGGTCCCAAGTTTTGGCTACGATGAGAATGCTGCCATGTGCATTTTTTGATATACAGACCCTACTTTGTGTTATGTGCCCAAAAGTGGGCTGGATCATCTAAGTCTATGCTTGAATTTTTGAGGGGCTTCACACCCCTTTTAACTCAAGCTTACTGAAAAGTAATTTACTGCAATTGAAATTAGAACATTGCTGTTTTCCCAGAAAGTTCTGTGAACCGCTTTATAAACAAATCCCATTCCCTCACTCCACCTCTGCCTCCATCTCTAATAACCCTGATTTCTGTTCCTATTATTTTGCAAGCTCGACACTGTCATTTAAGGCATCTGGTTTATTTCCCTTGACATCATGCTTTTGAGATGTGCTCAGAGGACCCCATATATCATGGGTTACTTTTCATCCCTGAGGGATTTTTACTGTAGAAGTGCCATCATCAACTTTGCTATTCTGGGATTGATTTGGGCAATTGTGAATCACACACCCATGCCTCTTCCTGTTCTGGTCTTCATTTCCTGGGTAAATACTGACCCAAGGAATTAATGTGTCCAACTTCTCAAGAGCCCAGGTCTTTGCAGCATCAGCAAAGAAGCATTGATGTCTTGATGAGATGTGAAAATTGAAACCCTGCTTAGACTTGCCAATGGATCTGAGTGATGTGTAACACGAATCTTAAAAGGTCTTATAATAAAAAAAAAACCAGAGCCAGATATTGAGGTGAAAGCTGAAAGATTAGAGAAGCAGAACAGTCAGTCACTAGCTTAACTCTACAAAATCCTCAACCTCAAGAGAGTGAGTTCCTGTTTCCTCATGCCTTATATACCTTTCTGTGTCCTGCCATATTACTTCCTGGGATTAAAGGCATGTGTCACCACTGCCTGGTTCTGTTTCTCTCATATAGCCCAGTGTGGCCTTGAACTAATAGAAATCCAGACAGATCTCTGCCTCCCAAGTGATAGGATTAAAGGTGTGTGCTACCACTGCCTGACCTCTATGTCTAACTTAGTGGCTGGCTCTGTCCTCTGATCCCCAGGTAAGCTTTATTGGGGTATGCAATATATCATCACAGTGATGAGTGATGGTGAGGATGTCAGATGCTCCATCTTGAGGAACTTTGGAGGAGACATTGAATTAGACCTTCTAAACCCTGGATATAACTCCCAAATGTTGGAGCTCAGTTCAAAGGATTACCAGAAAAAGTTGAAGGATAGGAAAAATGGATTGAGGGGAGACCTTGGGGATGAGGTCTTACTCCTCACAGGAACAAAGTGGGGGTGTCAAGCCCCACCTCTAAAACTTTTCAATGCCTACCCACAGCATACAGAAGGAATGTAGGTCTGACTCTGAGGAAACTGAGCTGAACCCTAAGGTGAGGACCTCTAAGAAGCCCTGACTTGAAACAGGCAAGGGCGAGTGGCCTGAAGTAACCTGTGATGGTCCACAGGAAACCTCTAAAATAGTCCACTCTAGAAGGCATTGTGCTCCCCAAGGAAGTTCCTTGGGTCTGAAGGGCAGTGGTCCCAGCTAACATCTACTTAGCACACACTTACTCTGTTCAACAGGTTCCTGTCTCCAGGAACCGCCCATCCTCAGTCCTGGGAACAATTGAGTGTGATGTAAATGGGTACACAGACAAGGGAATTAAACTTCACTTGATGAACCTGTCCCGGTACAAGGCTGGGCCCTCCGGATGTTCACGTTAGGGCCCAGTCTCGGTCAGCTTCAGCTGCTTTGACAAAGTGCCTCAGACTCATTTCCCACAGTTCCAGGAGCAGAAAGCCCTGTATCAGGGTGGTGGCAGTGGTGTGGTTTGGGGATGAGGGGGTGAGCTGGGGTGTCTCTTCTAGGTTGCAGACTGCTGCCTTCTCTCCGTGTTCTTGTGGTAGAAATAGGGCAAGGAAGCCGTCCATCCACGTCACAAGGACACTGATCCCATTCCCCTTCCTAAGGCTCGGCCTTCTAAAAGCTCACCCCGGAGGGCGGGATTTCAACAGCAATGGAAGGGGATACAGAAGTTCAGTCCACGGCAAGCCTGAATAGGAATTTCTTTAATAAAATGAACTCTGTGCTTCTAATTATGCCCTCTTGAGGATATTGTAACCAGCATTTCCCACTTACTGTATGAACAGAGCCTGCCGAACACTCACCAGGGATCATCCTAGCAACGTTTAATCTTCACAGTAGCAGGGGTTATTTCAGACCCCGGTTTACAGATGAGAAAACTCAGGTGTGAGAACTCTTCCTATAGACACAGGTGAGAGCGCTTTCAGAGTGGGACTCCTCGACTGGAGAGCACGCGATGTGAGACTCTGTGACGGATGCTCATAGCAGGCAAGATGAAGAAGGCAAATGAACACAACTCAGGCTAAAGTCACTTAAAGAAGACTGTCACACGCTGTGTCTGCTAACCCTGGGTGTGTGTAGGGTGGTGCCGTGGGAATTTTTCTCTTTATATGACTTTTGGGAGATTGGTGAAGACCGTTCTTCCTAATCACAATAGCCTTTCCACATCAATAACTGTGCTTCAAGAGTAAATGAATCTGCTTGATCCCACTCCATGAAAGAGCTAACTGATTCTCTTGCCCCGTTCCTCACTGTCAGAAACATTCTGGTAGCAGAATCTTTTAACAAGTCCTGATCACTTCACTGGTCAATCCTTAAGCATGGGAGCTCAGAATCAGACTCCAATGGGACATAGTGTAAAAGTGACTGCTTCCTGATCTCACAAGTGCTCCCATGGAGTCAGACTCTCACAGGACATAGTGAGAAAGTCACTGCTTCCTGATCTCACAAGTGCTCCCATGGAGTCAGACTCTCACAGGACATAGTGTGAAAGTCACTGCTTCCTGATCTCACAAGTGCTCCCATGGAGTCAGACTCTCACAGGACATAGTGTGAAAGTGACTGCTTCCTGATCTCACAAGTGCTCCCATGGAGTCAGACTCTTACAGGACATAGTGAGAAAGTCACTGCTTCCTGATCTCACAAGTGCTCCCATTACACTTATTCCTTTGTCTACTTTCCCAACCATGTTCCGCAGAACACACATGACAATGTGGTGCCTTTCCCACATCTGTTACCTAGAAAGAATATCTTGACGTCACTTGAGTTTACATGTGTTTGACTGTAACTCTTAATGAGTTATTTATGTAATTTGGCAATTTTTCTATGGAATGTCTTTTCTTACTTAGATGTGAATGCTTTTTGTATAATTTAAAGATATGAACATATCAAAGATGGCAAACATTTCTGTACAATGGTAATTTCTTTGAATTTTCTCCATTTTAAATTTTTTCTCTCTTTCTTTCTCTCTCTCTCTCTCTCTCTCTCTCTCTCTCTCTCTCTCTCTCTCTCTCTCTCTCCCTCTCTCATGTGTGCATGCATGTTCCTGTGTGTGAGTATGGGCATGCATGTCATGCACATGTATGGCAGTTGAAGGACCACCTCAGAGGCCTGTATGCATTCCCACATGTTTGATGTTCACCAGTGAGTACTCCAGGCTAGCTGGCCCCAAGGCTTCCAGGGAATCTCTTCTGTCCACCCCCCGACCCCGCCACTGGAGCAGTGGAAATACAGACGCACACACTGGCTTCGGAGGATTCAAACTTGGGACCTTGTGCGGCAAGCGCTTTACCCACTGAGCATCTCCTCTTGCCCTTCTTTAACTTTTCAATGATATTTTATGTAGAAAACACAACCTATTCCTTTCATGCCGATCATACCCTCCCTCCCACGAACATCGGCATCATCTTGGTGCAGTCAGCTCTACTACTCACAGCCGTGCTTCTTCCGAAAGCCTTCTTGTGGCAGGGCTCCTGGCACACTTTAATGGGTGGGTCATACCCCTCAAATTTCTCACGCAGCCTCATCCAAGCCGGGGAAGCTGTCACACACCACAAATACCTCGGTGGGGGGCATGAGTGTGTGTCTAAAGGACATATTAGCAAGCCTAACCTCAAGCACCAGATATTTAAAGCCAGAGAGAAGGGCCCTGTGGCTGGCAGAGAGGGCCATGACCCAGTGAACTCCTGGTCGTAGACATTTAGAAGATTTTTAGTTTTATCCTAAGCCATCGGAGGGATTTCTGGGCTCTTGTTTTTGTGTTGATTCCCAGAGAGATTGAACACCTTGGCCCAGTTGCCAGCCAGCCATCTTTGATGCATTGCAGGTCCAGGTCACTTAGTGTCTTCTTTATTTATTGGATGAGTCTTACTCCAGGATTTTAGCCCTTGGCTGTGTTTGTTGCAACCATTGCCACAGATTATTACCTGCTTTTCCTTTCTTTTCCGAATAGCAGGGGCTCTCTGGTTAGCCACAGGTGGTATATATTCTTGTTTATCTAAATCTGGTCTGTGTTGTCACGGCAATATTTCACATCCCTGGACATTTATCTCCAGGCGGGGGCTGGCAACCATCCGACCCATCAAAGGATAAGGAGTCGAGGACCCAAGGGTCAGGCTGCCGTGCTGGGGACGCTCCTGGCTATGGATCAGGACACACACGGGTCAAAGGTCTCTCTTGCCGGGAAGAAGACGGAGGCTCAGCCGAAAGCCGTGGCCGCTACGGAAGAGGCCGGGTTGCAGGCCTGCCTCGGAAGTGGAAACTGGGCAGGGCCGGGGCCAGCGGGCTGGAGGGCGAAGGTCCTGGGCCGGGGGCTGGAGCCCCACCCTGGAGCCCCGCCCACCAGGGCCCGCCCCTCGGAGCGTTCTGACCTCTCAGCACCTTCCGGCTCGGCCAGGGCTCTCCCTCCTCGGAAGTCATTGGTTGACTCTCAGTCCCCGCCCCCGGAAGAGCTGCTTATCGCAGCCAATCGGCGGGCGCGGCGGCGGCGGCGGCGGAGTCTGGGAGCGAGGTACCCCGACCTGGAGCGGGGGCTGCGGAGTTGACTTGGGCTTGTGGGGGTCGCTTGTCACCGTGGGCACGGGGCTGGGCTGCTACTCCAGGGCTGGTGGCCGTGGCTGTGTCCCGGGAGGACTGGTGCCGGCTTGTGAGGGTGGCAGGATGTGTGCTCCATGGAAAGTTGGGGCCCGGCCCGTGTAGGCCCAGGGGTGGGGCCGCCTCAAATTTGTTTTATCTCCTGCTTAGGGACACCCCACCCTGTCACTGAAGGAAAACGGAGGTCTCTTCCGGCCGCCCCGGGTGTCAGGGGCTCAGAAATCCGAGACCCGAGGGAGATGCGCTGAGGCTGGCCGTCCCCTCTAAAGGGCCTCTCGGAAGGCACCGCCAGGAATGCCTAGCGTCCCATTCGAGCCATTTGGAAGGGGGAAGGAGGTTAGTTGTGGCTCTGGCGTTTGCCTCTAGGTGACAGTAAAGGGCGCATGGGGGTGTAATGAGTGCAGAGTGACCTCGAGGAAAGGGCAGGTTAACTTGGACAGGCGTTTCTCCATTGCTCGCCTCTCGGGTCAAAGTCAGCCAGGGTCAAAATAAGAGACTTTGCGACCCATGGTTGCCCTCACCTGTGTCCTTGGCCTTCCAGAAGACACCTTGGAATGCCTCACGAAGTTTCTGTACAAAGATTCTGAATGTAAAGTTCTCAGTATCTGGTTGCTAAGAACAGTACTCTGAGACACAAGTAGCTTCTGTGTGTGGGCCCGGGGAGGCACAGCTGTGGACAGGGAAGAAGGGTGGGGAATCTTTTGTTTTTCTGTACGTAGTAAGCGGTTAGGGAAAGCATGATTCTATTCTGTCTATAGTCCCGTTTGGGCTAGTGTGAGGATGTCGTTCTGTCCTGTGGGTGTTTGCTGAATATTCGCAATATTAGGAAATTACTAATGAGACAGTTCTCTTTAGGAAGCCAGAGGGGAATGAATAGCATTTGTGTAGAATTAACCCCAGGTTTGGTTTTCAGTTAAGAAAATGAGGCAGAAGGAAGTGTTAGCCAAGACCTTCCAAGGCCCAGCCGTTGTCTGTAGGACTCCAAACAGCCACGTTTACATGTTCAAGAATGGCAGTGGAGACTCCGGGGACTCCTCTGAGGAAGAGTCACATCATGTGGCGTTACGACCCCGGGGCAAGGAGCGCCAGAAGAACAGCATCCAACACCCTCAGCAGCCCGGAGCGGGCAGCATGGTTCTGCTGCAGCGGGAGCTGGCCCAGGAGGACAGCCTTAACAAGCTTGCTCTCCAGTATGGCTGCAAAGTAAGCTGGCTCAGTCCCCGAGTAAGCCGACTGCTCAGTTAGTTGGGAACCTCAGTTAAGGGTGTGTTTTCCTTTGCCCTGACTTTCCCAGTGACGCTATGAAACTGTGCAGTCTTTTGAGCACATTGGATCTGAGATCCTAGGGGCTGGAGATGGTAGGTGGAGTTTGGCCCAGTGTCCTTGGCATGCTTCTCTTGCTACTTGTATTCTTCCGACCTTTTGCTGACATTTGCTGCTCCGACTGGTAGAGTTTTGCCTTCTCTCTAGTAGAACTGTATGGTCTAGCCTCTGTCCTGTGCGTTTGTATAACCTTATCTTTCTCTTTAATTATGTTTTTAGCATTCAGAGTGATTAACAGTGGCAAAGTAAGTAGGAAAGCATTTCTGGAATCGCTCTTTTCTCCTGCATCAAAATGGCTCGTTTCCCGCTGCTAACCCCATGCTGTAGACTGATAGCAGCTTTCACCCAGGCTGCATCCGCTACACAATTAAAAAACAAAAATCTTGACCTCCTAGAAATGGCCTATTGTTTATCTAACAAGATCCAAATGAGCAAAAAGATTGTGTGGGTGTGGGAGCCTTTCCCAGAGTAGTAGAGGCTGGTCTCCAGGGACACATGGCATCTTTGTATTACATCAGCCTTTGTGTTTGCATATTACCATCTGCTTCCGTAGGCATAAGCTACAGACCATGGGCTGAAAAACAAAGCCTTCCCAACAAAGTCTTGAAAGGTAGACTGAGTAGGCCTGTCAGAATGATGGTCTATAAAAAACCCAGAGTGGATTTTTTAGTGCCCCCACGAACCGGTCCAGTTCCAATTGGCAACAGATACACGTGCTGTTCGTTTCGTGCGCAAAGAATGAAAGCTGTTAAGTTTCAGATAAAAAGCATCTCGCGAGCCAGTTCAGTGAGACTCTAAAAGTGGCTGCTGAATCAAGTAAGCACACACTATGGACCAGAATAATAAACTCTGTGGGTTGTGCTTACATTCTAGATAAGTTTTTCAAAAGTAGCTTGAAGGGGAGTTTAAAATTTGGCTTCCTGTCCCTCCTTTTCTGTTAGGAGCTTTGTGTTACTCAATAAAATCCAGTCACGTTCCCCTTTCCGTAGTTGGGAATGGAAAAATCTCAGTCTGGAACTCCAGGTTGACTGCTGATTTCCTAACCTGCTTCTGGTGAGAAGTAGGACCTCCCCAAGGTGAATGGACCTGGAGTCACTGCTGTTCAGGAACTAAGTTCCTGTGCCTGCACGACTTCCGGGAAAGCGCTGAAGCAGCTGAGGCTCCTGAGGGAGCCATCAGGTGGTGGAGTCCCTGAGTGTGCCCAGGGCCAGCTCAGGCTTCAGGGAGCTTGTCTGGCCACTTGCTCAGCTGGATTCTGGTATGAGAGGCGCCACTGTTGCCTCAGAGCTTGACAGAAAGGGCAGCAGTGTTGGTCCTGTTTCACCTGAAGCTTTTGCTGTGCTCACAACACTTTCCCAAATTGACCTGAAATGGTTCCAAGTAGAACCATTGATTTCTAAGCTATTCATTAAGAGGTTAAAAACCAAAGACCAAAAAATATAAAGCTTAAGTTACTCAGGCAAAAACAAAGCTAGCTGTGGGTGCAGTTTCTGGCCTTCGTGGGCTTCTTCAGGGGGACCCCAGCAGGCTGAGGGTTTTTGCTGGGGCCGGGTACTGGTTTTGAGGAGCTTTGGATGTTTATAATGCCTGGCTTCCCTAGGTTGCAGATATCAAGAAAGTGAACAACTTCATCAGGGAACAAGACCTGTATGCTTTGAAGTCCATCAAGATTCCGGTGAGAAATCATGGCATCCTCACAGAGACCCATCAAGAGCTCACCCCCCTGGGGGCCCCGTCCTCTGAGACCAGAGTGACCCTGGGAGAACTGTCTGAAGAAGAGGATGCCACTGGGGCAAGCGTCCAGGGAAACCAACTGACGGATTTCTTTAAGGGAATCGACGAGAACATTGAGCGGGCTGTGCAGTCTGACGTCTTCCACAGCGACAGCTGCTGCGTGGAGGCCGCAGATCAGCCACTGCTCCCCGCCACCCAGAAGCCACCAGGCGACGGCGCCGACTGCGGGATTCAGTGGTGGAATGCTGTCTTCCTCATGCTTCTCATTGGGATTGTGTTGCCAGTGTTTTATCTCGTCTACTTTAAAATCCAAGCCACCGGGGAAGCCTCCAGTAGCGTGAATGCAACTGTTGTCCCCAATGACTCGATGACACTGAGCCCAGTTCCAGCGCCAGCGCCCAGGTTGGCAATTCCAGTGCCCACCCTCCCCGCTTCAGACAGCCAGGTCAGCTCAACCACCCAGGCAGGGGCCTAAGCTCATTTATTCTAGAATGAGCAATGCTTTGGCAGTTGGCTCTGGATGTGTGTAGTCGGGCATGTTGCACTTTGCTTCCTGGGATGCATGAACAGTTAAAGAAGTTACCACGTCAATCTGGATTGTATGGACTGAGGAGTGACCTGCCCTAACCCAAGGATGCAGGAGCTCAGACATCATCGTCCCAGCAAGAGAGACATTTACATGGAACTGGTGGCTCTTTCTTGAAGACAGGTCGGGGCTGGCTGTGCGTTCCTGTACAGCCCTTCTGGGTGAGCGCCTAAGTAGAACGTGATCAGGGATCTGCGATGTTGGCGCTCCCACTGTTGGGTGGGGTCAGATGATTGTCACAGTGTCCCAGCCTGCTAATGGTTGGGGGTGGGCTCAGCGGCATGTCCTGTGTCTGGGTAGACCAAGGTGCTATGCAGTATGCCACTGAGTTTTAGAGCGACGCATTACAGTTGTGACAGCCTGGCATGCCTGCCTCTTCACTCGGCCCCATTGAGGTGGTGCTACTTTGGAAGTGAGAATGCTCAGAATCCAAACTGCCATCCTTTGACTTACGCTGCAGTCCGGTCCCTCACACTGTTGGAGCTTTATGGTCTCACACATGGGCATATCTTAAGCCAGACACAGGGCCACCGCTCAGATTCACAGTAGGAGCATCTCTGTGGTGATGGCTCCAGGGATTCTCCCAGTTGGCATCTTGGGAGCAGATGTTATTGGCAAGTAGTCTGAAGAGACTACATCCGCCATTAAGGTTCTAACACATGCACCTCTGAGGCCAACCCACTGTCGGACGAGTGTTGCCAAGTCCAGTAGGTCTTCGCCCCCACCCCTACCACGTGTCCCCGAAGCAGAGTATTCTTCCCGCTGCCTCCTTACTCTGCCCTTTGGGTGTTGTCCTTAAACTTCCAGATTCTGTGTCTCAGTGTTAAAACCAGATACAGTGTCAGTCAGCTTTCTCTCACTGGACAAAATAATCTTGGCTCAAGGTTTTGACCCATGGCCTGATTTGGGGGCGCCTATGGTAAGAACACACATCATGGAGGAGAGTGTGGTGGGACAGATTGTTCCTATGACCAGGAAGAGAGGGAGAGACAAGGAGCTTGGGTCCTGGTATCACCTTCAAGGTCATGCCTGCAGTGACCTTGCCTCTGCCACTAGACCCCAGATCTTAAAGCTTCCACTCCTTCCCAGTGCCAAGGTGAGCACAAGCCTTTAAGATATTTGCCTTTGGGGGGCATATCCAAACCCCAACAAGGTGACTCTGGCTGTGAAAGGCTATAAAAGCAGCAGACACCAGAGGGGGTGAGATGCCCGAGGTTTTCTCAGCCACTCCCTGGTGGCAGTAGCCATCCATGTGCTGCAAGGAGTGTGGGAGAAAGGGCTAAGTCAGCCGGCCTTGTCACAGCAGGGAAGGGCCTGAGGTGGCCGTGAGCTCAGCTTCAGGGTGAACAGAAGGCAGGCAGGTGGCTTCTGTGTCAAGTGTCAAGGTAACGCCATTTGACACTTAGACCTGGAAATCTGATTAGAGGAGCAGAATAGTATGTGAGCCTGTTGTTCAGTTGTCTGAAAAACAGTCTGCCCAGGGTGTAAATAGCAAATTTGAGTCATCTTCAGAATTAAGTACTTTGAGGCCAAAAATAAACCCGTGTATCTCAATACAATAAACATGGATTATGTTAAGTGATTTCTATCTGGATGCTCATGACCATTGTGGCTGTGAAGTTTCTTTTAGATGTTTTTACCATTGACTTCAGCAGGCAGGGCCCAGAGTCCCATGGGAAAATCGTTTTCGGTAGACAACGAATGTCTTTTTTCCCCTGAATTCTGTCACAAGTGTTAGGGACAGTCCTGTGTAGGCTCCTCAGTAGAACATGACAAGGGAACTGCAGTGTCAGTGCCCCCTGGGGTTGGATGGGGTCAGATGACTGTCACAGTGACCCTGCCTGCTGAGGGCGGGGGTGAGCTTGGCTCAGAGATGTGTTCTGTCTGTCTGGGCAGACCAAGGTGCTATGCGATAGTATCAGTATGTCACTGAGTTTTAGACAAGTTACAGTTGTGACTTGTATCTCTGTATTTTTCTCAAGTGGAATAAATATTTCTTCTGTGAAGGAAACACGACTCCCTCTTTTCATATGTGGATATTAACAGTTCAAAGCTGAGGGACAGCTTTGGAGAAGACGGCAGTGACCTCTGTCTCCTGCTGGGTCTGGGCAAGTTGCCGTGGCTCTTGCTGCACTTGCTTCTGTGGCCAGGGAAGGACAGACAGGTGGTAACCAGTGCACTCTGGCCCACTGACCTCCATAATGTACGTCATAGTTCAGTTAGGTCTGTGGAAGACTACATGGAGTTCATTTCTGCTAAGCTATTGCATTTTGGTGACTAGGGTGCTTTGGAAAAGATGGTTTACATTTTTAAATTATGGGCATCTGTGTCCCTGTGGGAACGTGCATGTGAATGCAGGTGCCCTTGGAGTTCAGGAGAGTGTAGGACCCACTGGAGCTGCAGTTACAGGCAGTTGTGAGCTGCCTGATGTGGGTGCTGATAACTACACGGGTCCTCCGCAAGAGTAGTAAGCACTCTTAATGGAGCCATCTCTCCAGTCCCCAAGAAAGTGAGTGCTTTAAAGAACCAACTCATCTTTTTGGGTGGGCATAGCACTTCATGGTAAACACTAAGGAACTCTCTTGGTATTGGATGGGCTGGCTTTACACCAGGGAAATGGGGCTCCAGGCTGGCTTGTGTCCTGCCTGCCTGAACAGCAGGGGACACAGACCAGGGGGAAGAAACACTAAAGTCATGGGTTCCACAGTCGTGTGGGACAGACCAGGCCCTGGGCTGTATGTAACTAGTGGAGAAAACTTGAAATCACGTGAAAGATGGCTGCAGCCAAGAGCAAAATGTACTAACGTATAACCCATGGGGTTCCTTCTTCATCGGATACCATGGGAGGGCAAAGATTGTGTGCAGAAGCCCTGCCTTCCCAGCCCCCTCGTGAGTAGGCCTTGACGGTCACCACTCTACAGGTAGACAGCTAAGAGCCTACAGCTGACAGACGGGGTGCTCGGGGACCTGCCCCGCCTGGCAGCCTCGGCGTTTGTGCTCTTATGGTTCTGTAGCCTCTACCCTGCTGTTTCGACCCTACTACCCACCAGCCTGCTCTGGGTGGGGCTGACGGAGGCACTGATGACCTGCCTGGTGTCCAGACCCTGGGGCAGCTGGGAGTCTCTGGAAGCACTGGTGGTTGTGGCCTCTCAAGGCAAGGCTTCGGGAGAGAGCGGTGGAAAGAACTGGACTAGGAGGCCCACAGGAACACTGGCCAGTGCTGGTCAGAAGAGTCCATTGCAGGCATCCAAGAACTGTGGCTGGCACTGAAGCCCATCTTCTTCTTTCCCTTTGTCGGGATGGAGAGTGCTGGGGATTGACCCCTGGTCCTAGGATCTGTTCTACCACTGAAGTACCATTCTAGCTGGATCCTATTTTGTTGTTTTTAGGTTTTTAAATTTTGATTCATTTTATTTTATTGGTTTTGCCCATGCTAGGCAAATGCTCTACCACTCAGCCACATGCTCTGCCCTAGTTCCCGCCCCTCTGATTGGCTGGTGTAAAACTCATTGGCTGTAGTATTTAAGTCAGAGACCCAGACTCCTTGTCTAAAGAAGCCAGCCTGGCTTCTGTTGCTAAGAACCTCCCAGGGCTCAGCACAGTGGAAGAGGGTTTCTTCACCCTCATTACCAGGGAGAAGGCTTGGCTGGCTTCACCAGGCTGAGCAGGGGCACCTGGGTGGGGAAAGTGGCCAGGGCTGCAAAGCCAGGTGACTCAGTGCAGCTGCTGAGGCCAGGTGAGGCTAGTGCCCCCGCCTCTCACTGCCCCCAAAGGAGCAGCATGGCACTGGCAGCTTCAACCCATCACCTGTGCCCCTTCTTACCCCTGCTCAAAGTTGCAGAAGGTTCCAGAGCCTGCCCCCCCTCCCCCCGAGGCATCGGTAACAGCAGTGCCTCTCCACACCTCTCCAGGCCTTAGGGTCCAGGGGAGACTTCCCCAGCTCTCCAGGAAGCATTTGGTTATTTAATTCAGTAATTGTTTCTGAGACAACCCTAGCCTATAATTTGCTATGGAGACTAGGACTGTCCCCATCTCCTTAGCGCTGCCACCCTCACATCTGGCTGCATCTGGTTATTGTAAGACACTATTTCATTGCCCCGAATACAGAACACGTGCTACTCTTTATCTGTACTCCATCCATTCATCCATCCATGCATACACGCTTTAGTTCTTCATTATCCTTTCAGAACACCAAGGGGTGATGTGATAACCAGACAGGGCCTGTCCCCTGCGTTCAAGGTGCAAATAAGCTAGAAGGGCATGTGATGAAGTCTCTGGGTCCTGGACGTGTTAGCTGGGAGAGTCGTAGTCAGTTCTCTAGATGATTTAAGCTGACATTTCCTTAGCTACACTCAAAAGGACAGTGGAGGCCAGTGGCACAGTGGACGGGTGTTTTTTTAAGGAATGCTCTCTAGTGTGACTGAAAGATTAGAGGGTGGAACATGGGAACGATGTACACAAGAAGCTGAGTAGCCATTGATCTGGTACGTAGGGAGTGTAAATGGAATTTTTGAGGAAATGTTGCAGGAATAAGGTCTGGGACAGATGTGCAGCAACCTGAGTTCTACATTTAAGGACCTGGTATTTCAGAGAAATCAGAAGTGACTCATGGTAGCATGAGGCCAACACCATTGAATGAAGTTTCCTTACTTCCTATGTCCACTACTTCTAATTCTTCTGTTCTTAGTTTCATTTGATTTGGAAAATTGCAGTCATCCTTAAATTTTCCCGATTCTTCTTCTCTGTCTACAGAGAGCTGTTGATGTTGTAACTCTCATTAAGATTACATTCATTTTCACTCAACCTCCGTTTGTGAGGTTTCCATTGTTTGTCTTGCTGCGATGTCTAATATGCCATCATCTCATTAAATGCATCTTTTATTTTAGGTAATTTTAATTCCTGGAACTTTTTATACCTTTCAGTTTCCCCGTCACTGAGTTCATGCTCCCAATATTTATTTGTTGATAAGAACTGTGTTAACACTCCGATCTGCTAATTCTATCACTCATGTCATTCTGAACCGATTTGGTGATTTCCCTACCCCTAGTTATAGATTTCATTGTTTCCCTTAATGCCTGGGAATTTCTGGTTAGATTCTAGACATGGCAATGTATTATTGGATGCTGTGTTTTTCTGTCTTCTCTTAAAAACTGCTATACTCTGCTCTGGGGTAGTTACTTAGAATCAGATTGCTTCTTTTGAGGATTTTTTTTTTTTTTTTGGACAGGGTTTCTCTGTGTTACTGAGGCTTTCCTAGAACTTGCTGTGTATAACAGGCTGGTCTTGAACTCACAGAGATCCCGTTCAAGTGTTGTGATTAAAGATGTGCACCACCACTGCTTGGCTGGAGGCTACATCTATAAAGCTCTACAGGCACAAACTGAGAACTTAGGGCACGTCCACATAATGGATGCTAGGATGCTTTAAAAACAATGATGTTGGTTTCTATGAACTGACTATTCTAATGGAGTGATTTTCAGATATACCAAAGAACTTGTATACTTGTACAAAAGGAAAGCAGTTAGAATTACATGGGAAACTAAAGATTGGCTACCAACACTGGCCAAGTGGGAGATGTGGAGGATGGGGAACAGAGTACCAATGTGACATTTCTCTGAGATCTTTTTGTACAGCTCCTAGAGAAGGAGCAATGGGGATCTGGGGATATAACTCAGTGGTAGAATGCTTGCCTAGTATTTACAAGGTTTGGGATCAATTCCCAACACTGTTCCCAAAAAGGTTAGGATGCCATTCATAAATCCAAAACACAAATACATAAATGAGGCTAATACGGTGGAAGAAGGGTATGCAAAATAAACCCAGAACACCTACAGGTGAGCCCAAATGTGTGACAAAGAACTATACACAAAGGGGACAGGAACAAAGTTACTGTTAAGCATGACCTTGACTGAAAAATGTAAAGCTAGGGCAAAGAACCTCCAACCTCAATCTTTTACATGTTCTAACGTAGCCAGTAAATGTGCATTCCCCAGGAAGGGATGGGATGGCGAATCCGCAACTAGTTTCTGTATGTACTAGAATGGAGGAGGCCAGACGATCACAGATAGGAAGGAGGAGCTGGGGTTCTTCCCAGAAGTGAAGCAAGCTACAAGTGAAGAGAGACAAGACAAAAAGGATGCAGCCAGGTGGACTCTGAACAGCCTGAGGCACGTCCATGAATGAGCATCCCACAGCTTCCAGTGTGCAAACAGAGCCCAATGCTGTTAACACCCCACGTAACAATGAGCACACCTACTGCCTAGAGCTTGGTTTCAAAATGCCATCCTCTAATAGAATGAACCAGGAATCCTTGAGGAAGCACCCGGCCCAGGTTAAGGAGAGGGAAATCACAAGTACAGAAGATCTTGTGGTGCGAGAAGCAAGGATGTGCTGAAGCCTGGTCAGAAGGAGCTGGAGAACTGGTGTGTGAACTCGATGGTGTTCCTGAAGGCCCAAACTTGAACAGTTTGTGGAGCAAAATGATAGATTACAACCCACAGACCAAAATACATTGCCGTCAATCCCTAAAGCTGCAGGAAGTGAGTGGGGGTCAGCCATACCTCAGAGTTTAATCCCCACTGATGAATGTAGAATATAGGCCAAGGAAACAGGGAACAGCTGAGCTAATAACTGCTGAAAACAAGATATAAAATGGGTGGAAGTTGGGGGAACCTAGTACTCAGGTTACCTCCAAGATACTTAGGGAAGACAGCACTTTACAGTGAAGCCTAGCAGGAACCTTCACCCCGGCAAAGGGACAGCCATCTGTAGTGAGACACACTGACACCATCAGTTCCAGAACCAACTAGGACACATCACTTTGGGCTATTCTTGCCTATATGTAGCACCTCATCCCAGTCACCACCAGACTCCCCCACAGCTGAGGGGCACTTTGCTGGACAGGTGGCTGGGGGTGAGTGGCAGCCCTCCAGCTGCCACAGGGCTCTGCAAACCACTTTCTCGGCTGGTGCCACTCAGACACAAAATCAGCTTAAAACCGAGATAAAGGCT